ACAGAGAAAATGAGAGAGTGGGTGATATGTTATCAACAAATTTAGTTGAAAATAAGAAAGTTTTGGAGTGAGATTAATAAGTTGAGGAAACCTAGGGAACGAATGGATTAGTTAGTTAAAAATATAAAAAAAAAATATTAAATGGAGAACAGAGGTATTGGGAAGATGGAGGGAATATTTTGAGGAATTGCTAAATGTTGAAGATAGGGAAGCTGTGATTTCGTGTATAGGGCAAGGAGGAATAACATCTTATAGGGGTGAAGAGGAGCGAGTTGTGAGTGTGGGGGAAGTTCGTGAGTGGTGAGTAGAATGAAAGGGGGTAAGGTAGCTGGGAATGATGGGATAAAGATAGAAATGTTAAAAGCAGGTGGGGATATAGTTTTGGAGTGGTTGGTGCTTTTATTTAAGCAATTTATGGAAGAGGGTAAGGTACCTAGGGACTGGCAGAGAGCATGCATAGTTCCTTTGTATAGAGGCAAATGGGATAAAACTACAAAAATTATAGGAGAATAAGTCTGTTGCGTATGTAGGGTTTAGCATTAGGCCACTGATCCTTAATGGGGTATTAGTTACTATGTTGGCTATCGTCTAGGGGAGATCTCCAGTAGCAACATCTCCAACTCCAATAGCTCTCTTAACCAAAGACTTTCTTTGCTAACCTCCTTTCTTTGTGTAGGATGACCAAAACTCACAAGTAAAATTTGTGTCTTTAATAATAAATCTAAGAAAGGATTTTCATATCTCTATGAACCATAATCTTAATAAAGAACAATAAAATTACTTATCATTTTCCTTTACACATAAAGGGTACAATTTTATATACACATCTATTGTTACGACACAAGAGTTTTACTGGAAAGACATAATTCTCAGTAGTAGAGTTAGGCAATCAATATATGACATTAAGTAACTGATAGTTGCTAACATAATTCTTATCAATGTCTTCACCGAGACATTAAATTCAAATTATCCTTACAGGAACTTTCATCGATAATCCCGTGCAAGGGATCTGTATATGAAGAGATAACTCTAGAAATCAGAGATCAGACTAGGTGTGAAAGTGCAAGGCAGAGTACTACTCCGGAGTGAGTGGGTGAACCTACTGACTGTACCAGTAAGCGGTAAGCTGACGTCAAGTTGGATAATGTGACTTTGAGGGAGACGTCAGTACCTGAGCTAGTAACCGGCGCTCTAACTAGCGGTTTCCAACTACATGAAAATCACATGCTTAATAACGCCAAACAAAACAATAAAATACAATACAATATTAGCATTAACATATATATAATAAAATGTTGGGCAAGGGCATAATTCGCAACAGTCTTTTCAGTATACATGGTGAAGTGTTTGGTAGAGTTATTATTGGGAGAATTAGGGGTAAGACGGAGAGTAGGATAGCAGGTGAGTAAGGAGGCTTCAGGAAAGGTAGGGGGTGTGTAGACCAGGTGTTTACAGTGAATCATATAGGTGAACAATATTTAGATAAGACTAAAGAGGCTTTTGTGGCATTTATGGATTTGGAAAAGGTGTATGACAAGGTGGATAGGGGGGCAATATGGCAGATGTTGCAAATGTATGGAATAAGAGGTAGGTTACTGAAAGCAGTGAAAAATTTTTACGAGGATAGTGAGGCTCAGGTTAGAGTATGTAGGAGAGAGGTAAATTATTTCCCAGTAAAAGTAAACCTTAGACGAGGATGTGTGATGTCACCGTGGTTGTACAATATATTTATAGATGGAGCTGTAAGAGAAGTGAATACTCGGGCGTTGGCAGAAAGTGTGGGGCTAAAAGATAAAGAATCTAACACAAAGTGGGAGTTGTCACAGTTGCTCGTTGCTGATGACACTGTGCTCTTTGGAGATTCTGAAGAGAAATTGCAGGGGTTGGTGGATGAGTTTGGTAGAGAATGAAAAAGAAAATTAAAAGTGAATATAGGAAAGAGTAAGTTGATGAAGTTAAAAAAATTAGGTAACGAAAGACTGTATATCAGATTGGAGGGAGAGAGTGAAGAAGAAGTGAACGTATTCCTATATTTAGGAGTGGATGTGTCAGCAGATGAGTCTATGAAAGATGAGGTAAATCATAGAACTGACAAGAGGGTAAAAGGCGAGCGCTGCACTGAGGAGTCTATGGGTGCAAAGCATGGGTGGTGAATGTTGCAACAAGGAGAAAGCTGGAGGCAGTGGAGATGTCGTGTCTGGGGGCAATATGTGGTATGATTATGATACAGAGAATTCGTAGTTTGGAAATTATTAGGTGCAGGATTTCCAAAAGTATTATCCAGAGGGCTGAGGAATGGGTTGTTGAGGGGGGACTGGACATGTAATGAAGATGAATCAAAATAGAATGACTTCGAGTGTGTATAAATTTGTAGTGGAGGGAAGGCGGGGTAGAGGTCGGTCTAGGAACGGTTGGAGGGAGAGAAGAGGAAGGTTTTGTGTGTGAGTGGCTTAGACTTCCAGCAAGCATGCGTGAGCATGTTAGATAGGAGTGAATGGAAACAAATGTTTTTTTGGACTTGTCGTGCTGTTGGAGCGTGAGCAAAGTAACATTTATGAAGGGATTCAGGGAAACCAGCAGGCCGGACTTGATTCCTGGGGATGGGAAGTACAGTGCCGGCACTCTGAAGGAGGAGTGTTAATGTTGCGATTTTATAACTGTAGTGTAAGCGCGCCTCTGGCAAGACAGTGATGGAGTGAATGAGGAATCGACAAGGGGGACAGAGGCAGGATATTCCAAAGATAGGACACAGTAACAAGGGATCACAGGAATGTTAAGAAGTATGTCTATAGTCATAGAGTTGTCAGGAAGTAGAATAGTCTGGAAAGTGATGTAGTGGAGGCAGGATCCATATATAGCTTTAAGAAGAGGTTTAATAAAGCCCATGCAGCAGGGAGAGTAACCTAGTAGAGACCCGTGAAAAGGCATGGTCAGGAGCTGTGAATCGACCCCTGGAGCCAAAATTAAGCGAGTACAATTAGGTGAGGTGAGTACACACACACACCAACGGGATTCTGAGACATCACCAGACATCATAGCTCTAACAGACACCATGCTCAAAGGAATAATAACAGATGCCATCTTTCCAACTGGATATCAGATCAAGGAAAGAAAGAGGAAGCAGAGGGGGAGGAGGAGTGGCACTGCTCATCAAAAGCCAATGGGATTTTGAGGAGCTGGAGAGAGGAGGCAGAGGAGAAGCAAGAGACCACATAATAGGAACATTTCAGTCTGGAGGTCCCAAGTTAGTAATTGCAGTGATGTATAACCCACCACAGAATAGCATGAGGCCAAGGCAACAATATGATGACGGTAACAGAGCGATGGTTGACACACTGGCTGAAGTGGCCAGAAGGGTCCATGTGGGCACGTCAAAGCTACAGTTTGTGGGTGACTTCAATCACAAAGAAATTGACTTGGAAAGCTTGGAGCCACATTGGGGACCCAGAAACGTGGAGGGCTAAGATTATATAGGTGGTACTGGAAAACCTCATGCACCAACACATAAGGGACACTACTAGAAAGAGAGGAGTGTACGAACCAGCAAGACTGGACCTAGTATTCACTTAGAGTAGTGCAGATATTGAGGAAATCACTTATGAAAGACTCCTCGGGGCTAGTGATCACAGGGTTCTGAGCCTCGAATACATATTAGACTTACACGTAGCGAGGGAAGCAGGAATGGTAGGATGAATGAAGCCAAACTACTAGAGAGGGGATTACACAGGCATGAGAAATTTTGCATGAGGTTCAGTCGGACAGAAAACACGCAGGGAGATCAGTTGCCCGTTGGTTTACACCAACGGGCAACAAAAGTAACGAGGAGGCCAGAATGGAAGGCTAGAGAATGGAAGAAGTATAGAAGGCAAAGGAACAAGGAGAATAAGGAAAGCAGTGGAAGAGCCAGAAATGAATTTGCTCAGGAAAGGAGGGATGCCTAACGACAATACAAAAATGACGTAGCAGGAAAGTGAAGTCCGACCCAAAGCTGTTGTACAGTCACATCAGGAGGCAAACAACAGTCAAGGACCAGGTAATCAGGCAGAGTAAGGAAGGAGGGGAGATCACTAGAAACAATCGAGAAGTATGTGAGGAGGTCAACATGAGATTCGAAAAAGTGTTCACAAAAGAGACAGAAGGGACTCCAGAAAGTGTAGAGGTGAGGTACACGATCAAATGCTGGACACAATGCATACAGCGAGCTAGATACCTCAAAGGAGATGGAGCTAGCCAATATATTTCTAGGGATCCAGAGAGAGAGGGAGCAAAAACGCTCTGTGTACCATTAACAACAATCTTCAACATTTCTATCTAAACAGGGCGACTACCTGATGTATGGAACACAGCAAGTGTAGTTCCAGTTTGTAAAAAAGGAGACAGACACACAACATTAAACCACAGACCAGTGACACTGACATGTATAGTTTGTAAAGTCATGAAGAAGATTATCAGGAGAATAGCGGTGAACCTAGAAAGGAATGAGCTTATCAACGACAACCAGCACGGATTCAAGGACCGGAAATTCTGTGTCATAAACCTACTAGAGTTTCATGACAAGATGACAGCAGTAAGACAAGAGAGAGAGAGAGAAAGAGAGAGGTGGGTAGACTGCATTTTCTTGGACTGTAAGAAGGCTTTTGACACAGTTCCACAGAAGAGATTAGTGCAAAACCTGGAGGACCAGGCAGGTATAACAGGGAAGGCACTGAAAAATCGAGACACTTATGCAACATATGGGAATCTTCACTGAAGCAACCAAAGCAGAGAGAGAGGTCTCAGAGTAGCGTAGGTGTCAAAAGCCATGGTTACCCTTAGACTGGGTTAGTGGTCGGTGCCAACCCCACCCTACCATCATCCCCTGCAACCACAATTAGGTGAGTACACACACACATCCACACATACAACTCAAATTATGGGTTATACAAGCTCGATAACTATTTAGTAGAGTCCATTGTACGCAATCTTAAACAATGCTATATAAAATCACATTATTGTTCATTATGCCAGGTGAGTTGATGGACTGGTGACGCCCGTCCAGTGTTTACACAACAAAACTTCAAACCACGTCAGTTGTGATGGTTATATAACACCTGTAGCTGTTAATGTACCATACACATGATAACGAAATAAAGTAAGGAGAGGTTAAAGGGTATTAATAGAATTTAGATCATAGAAATATATTATCGGATAAGCATAGAAGATCCCCATGTATGGCAAATTAACCGACACTGAGAAAAATAGTAGACAATATTTAGGAAGAGATAATTCGGTAGAACATTCGAGTACCTCAGAGCAGGACATTTAAACGGACAAAGAGCACATTGTCTTCCTTTCTTTAATTACTTGAAAAGTATCTAACGAGAAACTTATTTTCTCAAACCACATGACCTGTTATAAACGATTAGAAAAAGCTTAGGGCTGGCTTTTTGTATCTTATAATTTCCTACTTGACATCTCAGAAACCCTCCTACCCCATATGGGGAGTAGGAGGATGTTGGTAGGGTGGGGTTGGCACCGACCATTAACCCAGTCTAAGGGTAACCGTGGACGGTGACACCTACGCTACTCTAAGACCTCTCTCCCTGCTTTGGTTGTTCCCTTGCAACATTGCACAGCCCTTGATGATGCACTGAGAAGTGTGAAAATACTTGAAATAAAGATTTCCACCCCCGTGGCTTATCCTGCATATATATATATATATATATATATATATATATATATATATATATATATATATATATATATATATATATTTTTTATCAATCTCTGCACCCTTTTACTACTACTATTGCTTCTGCTATCATATTTGTACCTCTACCACTGCTGCACTAATACTACTGCAACAAGAAAAACTACTACTACAATTGCTACTACAAGAACCGGAAGAGTTGAAATAGTTGTAGTAGTATCTACAGCAGTAGGATCAGTAATAATAATAATAATAATAAAAATAATAATAATAATTTTAGTAGTAGTAGCAGTTGTAGTAGTAGATTTTGTTGTAGTAATATTAGCGCAGCTGTGGTAGAGGTACAATTATGACAACAGTAGTAGTAATAGTAGTAAAAAGGTGCAGAGATTGAAAAATAAGTAAAGATATAGTACTGTATACTAGTATTGCAAATAAATAGTATAGTGCAGTATTTCCTGGCCTTTCCGTGGACTCCAATTATTTTTCCTTTCAAGGTAAATTTTATTCCCTAACCTCTGGTTCTGGTAAGAGTTCTTCTCCGTCACCGGCTGCAGAAAACCTTCATACGAAGCATTTCGAAACTGTTATACTTCCTACTATTAGTGTATGACCTTCTTTCTGGCTTTTCTAATTAGAAGATGTCTTTGCTCTTTGACCATATAATTCTACTCTCGTTAAAGCATTTCATAATACTTTCAACAATCTCGCTTCTTCCATCAAGTTCAAAGATGAATGGTAATCTAAATCTATGATTGCCTGGTTACAAGTTTTTCTTTTCTCCGTTTATTGTAAGCTAGTGCACAGTGACGTGTACAACTGTATATTCATTACTTTTTTTGCCATGCTCATTGTGTCAAGAAGAGTAATTTTGTTTCTTTCATTCTCAGTGCCCTTCCTGTTTCATGAACTCATCTACTCATCGGGATTTCTTCTCTCCCAAACTCTCTTCTACTGTGGAATCTCCTGTTCTTTGCCTTTTCTATAGTTCCAGTCTCCTGTATCTTAATAACACACTTCGTCGTTTAGACATCAAATTTTCTTTTCACAACATTATACCTTTCAAAAAAAAATTTGGGTTTATACCTCTACTGCCCTTTTTTGCCCTCGGAAAATTTTTGGAAAAATTTGGCGTCCTTTTTAGTGATAGACGTAAGGGGGCTCAAAAAAATTTTTAGCATTGCCCGGACCCGTAATGCTCTTTTCTGTCATTTTTGGGGGATCCCGTAACCCAAATTTAAATGGTCATGTCCCAAAAGTGTCTACCTTTTCCAGGCTTCACAAACCCGTCTTGTTAAAGTTTCCTTTGGGGACACAACTTTCCCAATTTTGTTCTCACCCCCTGATTTTATCTCTATTAAAACTTTTTTTCTCTTTTCGTTTTTCAAATGCTCAAAACCCGGTGCCCTGAAAGTCAATCGCTAGCGCACCCCGCGGCCAAAATTGAGGTCTGGAGTTCGAATCCCGGTTACGGCTGGAAAACATTAGGCGTGTTTCCGGGGGACCCTTTTTTCCCCTTGTTTACCCATCAGTGAAAAAATGGGTTCGGGTTTTTGTGTTAGTGGGGGGGTTTCCTGGGACAAAATTTGCCCTTTTTTGCCCGTAATGTGAGTAACAAGGGGGCTTTCTTATGGGGTTTTGGGTTATTGATGTCAGCTAGGCCTGTATCCCTTTGTAAATGAAACTTTTTAGATATAAAGTATATTATTATTGTTTTTAATTATTATTATTTTTTATTATTATTATTATTATTATTTTTTTATTTTTATTATTTTTTATTATTATTATTTTTATTAACCCCAAAAACATTTGTGACTTTGGTTTCTGATTTTGTCTCCTTTTCTTTCGCATTTTTTTTTTATTTTTCTTTTCCCTTTTCTATCCTCTCCCTTTGGGTTTTTTATTTTTTGGGGGGTTTGGGGGTCCCATAGGGGGTTTTGGTTTCTTCCCGTGGGCAGTAACTCTGCATTCATGTCCCCTTCACTTGAAAATTTTGAAACCTTCACTATTACTTCTATTACATTTTTCTTTTTTAATATTCCAATGTCTGTAACTTTTCTTTATACAATTTATTACTTTATATTTTACCTTATTTCCCTACAAATTTGACTACTTTTTAAAACGATTTAATTTTACTATACAAATTTAAAGAACTTTTACCACTGTATTAATCACCCCCTTTTTCCGATCACTTCTTTCCCCGACCTCTCTTGTATATATTCTGGTCCCTTCCTATTCCCGTATCTCTGCTTGATTTTTTAAATTGCATACGCCCCCATATTTGCAGGTTTTTTTGCGAAATTATGTTTGGGCAGTTTGTTTCAGTCTTTCTCTCCCCCCTTTGGGGCAGGGGGCCCCTTTTTGTGAAAAGTAAAAATACAGGTTTAAAAGGGAAAAGGGGTTTAATTTTTTATTTTTTCCAATAAAAAAAATCTCCCTCTAAATTAATTTTTTTTAAAATATGAAAAAGTGAACATCGACACACTCCATCAACTGTATAGGTTTTAAACTTTCTCAGTGAAAAACTAAAAATTTTAAAAGTACGACTGTTTTGTCTTTTTTTAAATAAAAAAAATTTGCCTTTGCCCTTTTAAACAAAAGGGAATTGTTTGTTATCCTCAAAATTTTGAAATTTTCTACTGATTTTACGGGTTTTGGTTTTAATAGGGGTTTAAAAAAACCTATCGACTGAAAAGTTGCTTTTAAACCCTGCAAGAAAAACCTGTTCCCCACCAGAGAAAAACTAATTTGACCCAAAAAACAGAGATTAGAAAAAGTTTAAAGGAAGTACACGTCTGGGTTTGTATAAAACCCCTGTGTTGTTATTGCTGTTAAATTATCTTTCTTTTATGTTGTTGAAAAAACCGAAATTGGGAAAAGTCCATGAATTAAAAAATTACGAAGAAAATAAATTTAAAATTTGTTTTAATTTTTTTTTTTTCAGAGGCAAGCAATATTTAAAACAAAAAATTGTGAAAATGGGGTCTATATTAATTTTTTATAAAATTTTTAATTATTTTTTCCCATAAGCCATACTTTAAAATTCTATCCAACAAAACTTTATTTTTTTTCTTTTCTGGCAAGAAAAAAACCCACTGATAATCTTAGACTTGGATCTGGGGGTAAAATAAAGGGAACTGCGGGTTCGCATTATTTTTTCTAACACCCGGGATGGTTGGGGTGTGGCCATGTTAAACCCCTCCCATCCCTACCTGAAAAAAGGGTCACAAAAAGGGTAAAACAGGGGTCACACAAGGGTCACACGGGGGTTACACAAGGGTCACCCCAAGGGTCCACGGGGGTCAAAAAGGGGGGTCCCCACGGGGGGGTCACAAGGGGTCACACAAGGGTCCCACGGGGTCACACGGGTCCCCCACAAGGGTCCCCAAAAGGGGGCACACGGGGGCCCACACGGGGGGGTCACACGGGGTTTTACACAAGAGTCACACAAGGGTCCAAAAGGGGTCCACAAGGGTCACAAAAGGGTCACACAAGGGTCACACAGGGGTCACAAAAGGGGTCACACAAGGGCCCACAAAGGGGTAACACAAGGGTAAACCAAGGGTCACACAAGGGTCACACAGGGGTCCCCAAAGATTTCCCCCAAGGGCCCACAGGGGGTCACAAAAGGGTCACCCCAGGGGTCACACAAGAGTCCAAAAGGGGGTCACCAGGGGTCACAAAAGGGGTTTCACACAGGGGTCACACAAGGTCCAAAAGGGGTCCGGGGGTTTAACACGGGTTTCCCCAAAGGGGTCCACAAGGGTCACAAAAGGGGTTCACCCAGGGGTCCACAAGGGTCCCCCAAAAGGGGGTCCCGGGGGTACACAAGGGTCACACAAGGGCCCACACAAGGGTCAAAAAAACCAGGTCTTTGTAGAAGGGGTTTAAAGGGTTTATGAAATTAAAAATTTGTTGGATTTTTTTGCGTGAATTTAAATAACTAACCATTTTGCTGTATTTTTTAACGAAGTAAAAAAGTCACGGGACTCTCTTACACCCCAAGCTTGATTATTTTTAATTTGAAATTTATTAATTATATTTACAAAGGGTGTATGCATTGTGTGTATGGTACATTGTGTTGGTTTACAAGAACTGGTATTCATCCCCAAGTGTTGGATGTTTTTAATCATGTATGAATTATTTTTTTAACGAGATTTGTTTGAGGATTTTTTCTTTGCGTATGGGGTGTTTTGGGTCTAAACCCAAAAAAAAGAAATGAACTACTCATTTTCCAATAACTTTGTTAATTTTTGTTCTCTCTCTTCTCCCCTCTTTCTTTCTTTTCCTCTCTCTCTCTCTCTCTCCCCTCTCTCTC